CCCCAAAACCCCAAAACCCCAAAACCCCGAGATTTAACCTATCTATTGAAACATAACAAGTGTTAAATATGTCTAATAGTAACATACAAAGGAGCAGATTACCTTAGTACCTACTCCTTCTTTGGATCTGAGACATATCCTCCCACCTAGCTTCTCTCATAACTTCTTGCAGATGGTCAGGCCGAGGCCAGTCCCGCCTTTATTCCTATTATGGTTGGAACTAGTCTTGCCGAATAGTTTGAAGAGAGAAGGCAGGTCTTTCTCAGAAATACCTATTCCAGTGTCAGTAACACTAAGCTCAACCTTGAGTTCCTTCGTAAAATCTGTATGTAGAGGCTCATCTGGCTTCTTTTGTAGAATCCTTCCAGGTGTTTCTATTTGTACTGGAAGCTTTTCAAACCTTGAAGAACTTGGTGAGAATTTATAATTATCTGTAGCAAGAAGTAGGTTTAATACCGGCATTTCATCAAGAATTTCAGGTGTTAAAATATCGCTTGAATCATCTAAAGCTTTGTGACTAACAATACCTTCATCCATTCTATGTCGCCTGAATCTTCTCATTTCTTGGACTTTGAGGTTTATATTGATAGACCCATCATCTGTGAACTTCAGTGCGTTAGAGATCAAGTTGAGCAGAATCTGTTTGAGTCTGTCCTTATCAGACCTCACTTTGAGTTCTTGAAAGACACTTTCCATCTTGAAGTTCAAGTTCACTCCCTTCATTCTGGTCTGTATCCCAAAGATAGAGTTGACTTCATCAAAGAGTTGCCCGAAGGTGAACTCTGACTCCTTAATTTCAAACACTCCTGCTTCTATCTTGGATAGATCAAGGATATCTTCAATCAAAACTTGAAGAATAACTCAAGAGGACGATGCTATTTTATGAAACCTTGCTAATGATTCGTTCAGATTAGGCTTCATTAACTCCAAAGATAACGACATCGCATTCAGAGGAGTCCTGAACTCATGAGACACATTGGAGAGCATCTGCCTTTGATAATTGTTCTTAGCTTTTTCCTCTCCAAGTAGAGTAATTTGAGTTGTATCAATGAACATTTGTAGAAATGTATGCTTCTCACGATCATTAATCACATCAATCTGTGAAGTTTTGACAATGAAATCTCTGTCCAAGCACTCTACATCACTTCAGCTTCCCTTCCTGTCCCAAGCAATTGAGACTTTGGTGCTTCTTTCGTTATGCCTAAAATTTCTGCAGAGCAATCTCTCTTCTTTAAGGAAGTCTGAGAGTAAAATCTCTTCATGCTCTTGAACGTGAACATCAGGGTCTTCTCCTTTGCCTTCTTCAATTTTATCTTTCTTGATTTTGATAATGAATTTGTTAAAAATATTGTGCACAAAAGACTGTGAGTCTTCCGGACTCAAGCTGGTGGAAGTCGCTCTAGCATATATATCATCGAATAGGTCATCCATTGACTGTTTTATATGGGCGAGGTCTACATTTTCCTGTGAAGAAGTGGAGAAAGATGACACATCAAAGGTCTGCTTGAGCTTCTTGTTCACAAATTCTAGGTTCTCACTTAGTTCATTAGTGATAGTGACTCCTTCAGGCAACCCTTCAAGGATCTTCTTGAGCTGTGAAGAAGCCTGCTTTGCATTTGAAGTTGATATAAACTCTTGCTTGAAATTTCGGGAGATTAGGAACGAATTGAATCAGAATATTATCGAAGAACTTGCGAGAGCATAAAAGACAGTCCTTGGTACTTCTTCATAATGAAGCTTCAGCATAGTATATAAATTAGAATAAATCAACAAAATAGCTGCTGAAGATACCCTCCAGTCTGAAATAAGGCATGTTGACATTAAGAAAGACACTGAGAGATGTAGTATGAATCCTTCGAAAAGCCTATTTAATATTAGAAAAATCATGGGAAATGTAACTGGAAATTTTTGAGCTTGATGATGAGCCAAGTTAAGAAAATCTAAACCATGTAAAGGCTAAGTTATGAATTTAATACAGTAGCACTATTAAAGAGATTTATAAACATCGAAATCACTATTTCTTTCAACCTGGAACAGCATGACGGAATGAGAATATTAAAAGTAGAGGCGACATCTTTTCCAAGAAAGAATTTTTCCATTACCTGAATTGGACAATTTCGAGATTTATTCTGGTTATTAAAATACCGAATATAAGAATAAACACAATCGCGCCGTTTCTTGCAAGAAATTTGCTTTTGCCAATATAGTACTTGAACAGAAATAAAAGGCTGAGCATTAGGAATGGTGCAAATCTTGTAGCATCAGTAATCGAATCCTCTGAAAATTGATTGCAAGTAACGAAAACAGAGAACATAAGTTTGAACATTAGGAGGATAAACTTCCAGTTTGCCCGAATCGTGCCGAGTCTATGCTCATGGTATAGTTGCTCAGTTCTAGCACTATCAAACTGGACATCTTCGAAAACCCATTGGCTCCTGATTTTGTTTAATAGCCAACTGTGTTGTATGGTCTGCTTGTAGTCCTGTAGGAAGGCATGTAAGCCGACATTTTCTCTTCTTTCCCTAGCCATTATTATGAAATAATTTATAATTTTCTAGACTTCAAAAATAGCTGTTTTCATTGGGGTTTTGGGGTTTTGGGGTTTTGGGGTTTTGGGG